TACCCAGGACGCGGATGTAGTTTATCGTCATACCCAGGACGGCAGGAATATAGATGTATAGAAACTACTGTGGCCTCAATATGAGGGAACAGTTTATATATTGATTATAATATATAACTGATCCCCCACTTTATGTCCATATTATAATTTCTTGGTTGTTTTTTAAGCATTTCAATCCATGCATGGGGAGGGGACTACTAACACGCAAGTTGTTACAGTGAGTGAAAGTAAGAGAAAAGAGGGGGTGTTTGAGGAAATGATAAAGAGGACGGGGATCAAGATCAAAGCATCAGAAGATGTCGATAGACATTACATTTAAATTTTTCAGGGTTATAGTTATCGGGAAAGCAAGTAAGAGGTAGGGAGATTCACTGTTAGGAAGTGCGAGAGGAGAAGCTGTTGGAGCAGAAGATGTGGTTACATTTAACCGTATCGACAGTGAAAGGGTGGGACACCCACAGAGACAACCTATGGTTTATACTGCAACTATGCTGAGCAGACCTTAGTTACAGTTTTTGGGAAAGACATAGGGAAAACACATCAACAATTTGAACAAGGCAAGCTGACTTTTGACTTCGTACTAGCACAGCTAGCGACGGCAGCCAAGGGTTCCGTCTACTCAATTTCACTCACAGGGCTTGGGTCAACCTGTGGTATTTTCAGGCACTTTCCAAATTTTTCGCACCCTGGGGTCGACCCGTCGAGTCCGATAACATCAGAAAGTCTTCTGTCTTGACAAACCGACCAACCACTCGGGCACGTGCCAATTACTGTAGAGACAGGGGTAAATGCTAGTGTCGGCTGCATAGATGACTACTTGAGAAGTGATGACATCAGGAAGATCAAATTCTGACGGGGTATGAATCCACCTCTTCTCCTCCAGCTATGGGTTAATTAGTAACGTTTGAATCACTAAATTATTATTATCTCCACCCCCACCCCCCAACGTAAAAAAGGGATTCTTACATATTCTCTAAATATATCTTCTGGATTTAAATAAGCTGAAAAGTGTGGATAAGCCGTGGAAAACGAATCAATCAAATATCGATTATGTCTTTATTTTCTGGAATATAAATGAATAGAAACTACAGTGGCTATAAAGTGAGAGATCAGTTTATCTATTTTTTTTAACCATTTCACCCCAAGCAAGGCGGGAAGCTACAAGCACGCAAGGGTTTACAGAGGATTTGGAGCAAGATCAGATAGGAGTGATAGAGGAAAGGATGAGGAAAAGGATAGTGGATAGATCAAGGCAACTGGAGATGTCGATTGACATTACATTTGAATAGTTGGAGATTATAGCTATCAGGAAAACTGGAATAGGGAAGGGAGTTCCACAGGCGAGAGGTGCGAGACATGAAGCTGTTGAAGAAGAAGAGACAGCTACATTTAACAGTTTCAACAGTGAAAGGGTGAGAGCGGGATGCCAGCCTCGTAGGGCGCTTGAATTCATGAAGTCTGGGAACCAGCGAATGCAGCTCCTCGGAGCAATTACCATGAAAGTATTTGTAAAAAAAGACAGAGAGATGCGACGGCACGTCTGTGAGAGAGCGACTGCAGACGAGATGCCAGATCAAGGCCAATTACATTGCATATATTGATTATAATATAGAACTTATCCCCTATTTTTATCTATATTATAATTTCTTGTTTACTTATCAAATTCTGATTAGATATGAATACACGTCTTCTCCTTTCAGTTAAATTTGTAATGGCAATAGAAAACTGAGATATTTCTCTACAGGTAACATTCATTAGTCGAACAGTTGAAAGCCATGTCATCATTGTCTTCTAGAGTTCACTGTTATCGCTCTTTCTCGTATTTGATGGGAGTTTCCTTCCAAACATTTGTTTTTTTGGTAGTATGGAAACGTTAACCCTTTGACCCCTGCGTCCCTAAACAATTTGAACCCTTCTTCCTGAGCTCCTGAGCCAAAATTCGCAAGTAATTGGTATGTAATGTTTCACGGTAGATTTAAAAATAGTTACAAGTGTTTACCCACCGTTCAACCGGTGGCTGGGCATTACGTCATTTTTCTATACCACCGTTCAACCGGCGGCTGGGCATTACGTCATTTTTCTATACCACCGTTCAACTGTCGGCTGGGCATTACGTCATTTTCCTATACCACCGTTCAACTGTCGGCTGGGCATTACGTCATTTTTCTATACCACTGTTCAACCGGTGGCTGGGCATTACGTCATTTTTCTCTACCACCGTTCAACCGGCAACTGGGCATTACGTCATTTTTTCTATACCACCGTTCAACTGTCGGCTGGGCATTACGTCATTTTTCTCTACCACGGTTCAACCGGCGGCTGGGCATTACGTCATTTTTCTCTACCACCGTTCAACCGGCGACTGGGCATTACGTCATTTTTTTGTTATTTGGTAAAGCTCTTTGGGATTTCGTAGCACCAGACTCTAGGGTGTGACGTCATCTTTAAGATTTACTGAATTTATGCGTTCGAAGCCATTTTAATCATTGATCTAAGAAAAATGTTTTTGTACAGATAATAATTTATACATTTCTGAACGAGCTGGATACGCTATCGATATGAGAGTCTAGATTTGACGATCCATTTAAGAATATGACTCTAGTTTTCAGGTTAATATTTTGTTTTTGAGCCTCTTACGGTCTTAGATAAAAGAGCCTCTCTCGTAATCTATCCTGCTTTCTGTTACTTTATCCCTTAGACTAAGTTTGTTATAACTGGGACAACGAAATGACAAAACTGATCTCTATTAATCGCCTGAGAGATCTGACTTCCATCAGTATGGCTGATGCTAACCTCCAGGGGAGTGACTTGTTGCGTCTTTTCGGACTACCGTTTTCCGCTGACATTAAGTGGAAAGATTATATTGAATCAATTGCTACGTCTACTGCTAGAAAAGTTTATTCACTGTTTCAAGCGAGACAATATTTCTCACCCTATCTATCCTACATATTTATAAGTCTACCATTCGTCCATGTGTTGTATACTTTTATTTTCATTTCCCAAGTACTAATGAATGCTAAGCACATTGTCAACCGTTTTATATTTAAAAGCATAATGAAAAATTACGGTAATGGATAACAACGCATAACTTTGTATAAATACTTATATTAAGGAACAACATATAATTTTGTACAACTTGCACCCCTGAAGATGATCTTGGAAGAAGATCGAAAGTACTTGGGGAAATTAAAATAAAAGAAATTTAAAAAGCTATAGCACATTTTTCTCATCCTTTAACATCAATACACGGAAGGTTATTCGTGAGTATGAATGGATTTTATAAAAAAATTAGCAGACATAATATCTGTAATTTATTCAATCAGACATATATATATATATATATATATATATATATATATATATATATATATATATATATATATGTGCATGTGTGTTTGAGTGTAGGGATTTGACCTAGCCATAACGTTGTTTTCCATAATTATGTTCCATATTTAGTCCAGAGGATACGAAACATAATTATGGAAAACAAAGTAATAACTAGCTTACATATCAAGTCATTACACATAAATATGGTCGTTACAAATTGCATCAACATAATGAGAATCCACCTAAAAAAAATAAAAAATCATAAAACTATGTAAACTAATCACTGACGCTTTCAATAAAAATTTCTATGATAAAAATTTCGGCTAACCTATTCGGTCACGTCGGAGGGTCCGGTCTATTTAAACATATCATACCTAAATACTCCACATACCTATGATACTTAGTTTTTATTATGTCCTCATAATATAAATCTATCAGGCATAATAATGAAACTTAATAAGGTTGATCCTACCATTAAATTTCCACACGAATTTGAAATAAACAAATTGCTACTTTTCGTCGACATCTTATTAATAACAAATTAGATTTTAATGTTTATCATAAACCCACTAACAAAAAACGATCTAATTAATTTGTATTCCCGCCACAATCCCAAAATAAAATCAGGATTAATCATAGGATTCTACCTTAGATATATATATATATATATATATATATATATATATATATATATATATATATATATATATATATAGTGATTTACTACGCATAACTTACATGTAGCATAAGGCTGAAAGCAAAGGAGTACTCAGTGAGAATCGAATTCACTACTCAGCTGTAATTGATCTAGCGAGAACAACCTTGCTATTACATCAAGTCGAATTTACCTCCATATATATATATATATATATATATGTGTGTGTGTGTGTGTGTGTGTGTGTGTGTGTGTGTGTGTGTGTGTGTGTGTGTGTGTGTATGTAAAAGATTTAGTGACCTAAGATACATAGATGGCGTTTTTATTATATTTTCATAATATAAATCTATCAGGCATAATAATGAAACTGAATAAGGTTGATCCTAATATTGAATTCCCACATGAATTTGAAATAAACAAATCTCTGTCTTTTCTCGACATCTTAACGTACCAAAAACAAATCAGACTTTAAAGTTTTTCGTAAATCCATTAACAAAAAAAATCAGATTAATTTCTATTCCCGCCACAATCAAAAAAAATATAATCAGAATTAGTTATAGGATTCTACCTCAGAGCCTCTCCACCTCCCTCTATCCATTGAAGCTTTTACGTAGACCAAAATACCTGAGTGAAAAAAGGAAATATATGGAGAAAACATTTCGACTTCTTCACTACCACATCATATTTATACTAAATGCTAGAAAACGAGCAAAAATTAAAGAAAATAAATCCCCCAAAATAATTCCAACATCACTTTGGCAGATGCCAGTACTTATCAAATAAATTGCTTACAATGTAAAAATATACATACAATTATATATATACACACACACATATATATATATATATATATATATATATATATATATATATATATATATACAATTTTATGTATATATATATATATATATATATATATATATACAATTTTATGTATATATATATATATATAAATATATATATACAATTTTTGTATATATATATATATACAATTTTATGTATATATATATATATATACAATTTATAGATAGATAGATAGATAGATAGATAGATAGATAGATAGATAGATAGATAGATAGATAGATAGATATGAACATAGACCAATAGAGATGCCATGAAAAGCAGATAGATATGGGTATATATCAGATATAGAAAGAATGAATGAAGGAAGAAGAATCATTAAATATTAAAAGGAAAGCAAAAAGACAAAGATAGCTGAAATTTAAAAAGAAAGAAAAAGAAAAAAGAAAGAAAGAAAGAACGCTTAAATACTGAAAGGAAAGAAAAAAGTAAAGATGGCTGAAATTTGGAAAGAAAGAAAGAAAGAAAGAAAGAAGGAAAGAAGGAAAAAAGAATGCTTAAATATTGAAAGGAAAGCAAAAAGACAAAGATAGCTGAAATTTAGAAAGAAAGAAAGAAAGAATGAAAGAAAGAAAGAGAGAAAGAAAGAAAGAAGTTTGTTCACAACACCAGAAAACGAACTTACAAATCCGCAAATCCCCAAAAAGCAAGCCACTACTAAGATCACTTCTCACAACCACAACGTAAAATTCATAATTCTACCCTCTGACACACTTTCTACTACACTTGTAAATAAATTAGTTATCCCTAATATTATGATCTTTACAACCACATTCAAGACATTCGAAGATATGATTAGGAAGAAAAATAAATTCAACATCATGTCAAACTTATCAAATAAATTGTTTACAAGTCAAAATGCATGTGAAACAAGATTAACCAATCAAAATCAAACAGCCTATAAGTAAAATACCAGAGTTTCTTTCTTCTTTTGCTCCATATCTCATTCTCTGATGAAGCTTTAATAAAAATAAAACATGCCAGATGGATAAACGTTCCTTATTTTATCATACTATCGATATATATGGTGAACTCTACCGACGTCTTCGACGTATGAGGGTCAAGCAGCCCATTTCTTAGGAACAGACAACCCAGACACCAGCACATATGATTCGATTATAGCGGTGAAGGCTTTGTGTAGAACCAACCACACTTTTTGAAGGGCCGAATACAGATACCACGTTTTGAATTCAGAGTTGTTCTTCTAGACCAGTTGCCATCCAAGGCTATAGAACCCAGTCTGTCCAGCTATTTACCCATAGCTGGAGGGAGAAGAAGAGGATTCATACCTTTCCCAAGGGTATTAGCATGTAAGTGAATGTAATGGATTCGAATGGAATTCAAACTCAGCTCTCCGATTCCTCAACCCGAGCCGCTTTTCACTACTCCACCGTGCCTCCTTTATATATATATATCAGATTCCGCTCTATATGAGGATCTGACAGCTTATTGATTCATTATTGAAAGTTTGTGTGATAATCTTAAGTGTCATTTAAGACCCGCTAGTGATTTAAAAAGGAGGCCACATATGGAGCAAGTGTGAGGATTGTGAGATGAGATCACTGTTAGATTGGCTGACCTTTTAGATTTTGCTCTCGCTTCTTGAAGATGATTCAGACAAGCAGATTGAAAATTGTTGAGTTCGCTAAAACACGTTGAACTCCATTCTACCCGCTCCAAAGCTAAGCGCTCAAGGGTGTTATGTGGTATATTAACTGCTGACAAGTTGCTTTTCAGCTTGTCTTTGTATCTTAGCCATGGGCGTCCTACATTCCTGTAGTCCTGATCTAACTGGATGTACATTAGGAGCTTGGGTATCCTGTCATCAGACATTCTCAAGACATGACCAGTCCACCGTAACTGAGACTCTATGATAAAAGTCTCGATTCCTCAAATATTACACCTGTTAAACAGGTCTACGTTAGATGTCTTATCTTGAAGCTTATATATATATATATATATATATATATATATATATATATATATATATATATATATATATATATATAAAGTTAAAGATCAAATGCAGATTAAATATAGAGCGGAATCTGATAGGAAACGTGTCTCAATCTAACATATTTCCATTTTATTAAAGCTTTGTCAGAGGCTGAAAAAAAAACAGTCAAAAATCAGAAACTCAGGTATTTTCAATTATGCTTGCTTCAGTTGTCATTGCTCACAAAACGTAGATAATTCTATAAGTAACTTTGTGAAGATTCTTATATGTTTAAGTGGGCATCAGATGGCAATGTATATTCGTAATTGTGTATGTGTGTCTTTCTAATGGGAACTCTAATGTCTTCACCATTGCACGGTCAGCCAGCGCAGCGAGTTGTCACTTCCTTCAAAACTATGGTTGATCTCTTTATTAGAAAGATGGCGATGTAATGTAATGTGTGTTTATAGTTGGTAATAATGTCATTATTAAGTTATCAAGGTATTTTCTCCTTAAAGAATGATGTTTTTTTTTTAATTAGGGTGGCATTATATATATATATATATATATATATATATATATATATATATATATATATATATATATATATATATTATAAATTAATTGATTTAAAATATGGTTTTTTCGCTACATAGTTCTAACCATGTTTCAAAAATGGAAGCTAAAAGCCCTGAATTTAATTTTGTAATTAAATTAAAGACATTAGTTCTATTTCATCCTCAAGCGAATTTTGGAGTAACTTTTAGAATTACTGGTTTTAAAAAAAATTTTAAATTAACTTTTAAAATTACTGGGTTTAAAAAAAAATATATATATATACATATATATATATATATATATATATATATATATATATATATATATATATATATATATATGCTTCACTCTCACTCGATTATATATGCTCCTGAAAAATTTATTTCCGTTGATCTCTCTGGAGGAAGTGTGGGTTTGTAAACAGCGACTATTACGGCTAATAATGCAAGACTCTTCGGTAAATCGAATCGAGTTCTCTCAGTTACTGTGTGTTTATCTAAAAATAAATACACATAAATTCACCTGCATCCCGGACGTGCGCCAACGGCTTAGTGGTAGAATCCCCGACTGACGCCAATTCAGTCGGGTTTCGATCCTAACTAGAGGCAACCGGACGTCTAGCCACACTTGCCAAATGCCCCGTATAAACGAGATCGGGTTGGTCATTTCTCCCCGAGATTCTGCCCTTTCTGTTCAGAGGCAGAAAGTTCGACCGTCAAGTCGAGAAGTGTGGAATAAGATTTAAAACAGTGCTCTATACAGAAGTAGAGCTTAGATTATAATTATTCTTTAAGAAATATGATTCCTTCGCTACATAAGAGTTCTCGTGTTTCAAAAACAAGACCCAAAAACCTCAGTATAATTATTAAAATTAAATTGAATTAAAGTATCTAGCCCTGTTTCATCCTCAAGCGAAAATTTAAGGATTTCTACTTAGCACTGCTTTTTTAAAATAAAAACAAGAATACTAAAGAACTCCGGATTATTTACCTAACGTGTTATTTCCTATTTTTCTATATATTTGCACACACACATACGTGTATATATATATATATATATATATATATATATATATATATATATATATATATATATATATATATATATACCCCTGGAAATACTGGAAATACATGACGTTGGTTCGAAAGGAAGTAAGGCCGCGGGTTGGGAGGACCAGTTATAACTGGCTTTTTTGAATAATCATCTGTTCTTTCCTAAAAAGTCGAGGGTTTCCAAAATGTCTCCTGCTGCCTGCAGCGGTATTGTTAGTTGATTCTTTTCTTTTCTTTTTTGACTGATTTTAAGGACAGAGAAAAGAAGTAGAATTAACGTCAAGGCTCCAGAAGATAAGGAAGGCGAAACAGATTGCAATCATCTCGTCATTTTATCGCCCTCGCTGCAAATGAGGATCGCACGTCAGTGCAGGTGTGTCGACGAGAGTTCCTAAATAGGTCGGCGTTATCTCCCTTTATTATCAAAGCAGTTGCGTACGCGCGTTCGCGCATGCGCATGTGAGTGTACGTGGAACGTGCTGAGTGTGTAATTCATTTCGTTTATTGCCTTGTCCAGGACACCAACCCAATATCACACACAGACTGCATTTGTTTTCATGTTTTGATTTTTCTTCTTTTTACTTTTTTAATATTTTGTTTCCACCTTTCTTCTCCGTCTTTTTTCCTCCTCCTCCTCCTTCAACTTCTTCTTATTTTCCTCCTCTTCCACCTCCTCCTTCTTCTTTTTCAATTGATTTCTGGTTCACCTGTGTAATGCCGATTCCATGCCTGCAGCTAACTCATATTACTTCAATACCAAGCAACTTAGACCTGTTTGAAGAGAAGGCGATGCTTACACGACTGCCTTCTTGGTTCTAAAGGATTACAAGCGATGCGATGACGAAAAGTGAGAGGTTGGTATCAAGAAGAAGAAGATGATGATGAAGAAGAAGTGATATTGATGAAAGTGATTAATTTCCAAAGAAGGAAAAAAGAAATGGAAATTAAGACAAGAATGAAAGAAAGCAAAAACTAAAATTCTTATAAAAAAATCCATATAAAGTTGCAGCAAGAAAAATAGAAAGAAAAAAGAAGATCAATTAAGATGTGACAGAAACGAAAAATTAAAATAAAGATGAAGAAAGACAAAAAGAAATAAAAATAAGATAAAAAGAGATGAAGACGAAAGAAAGAAAGAAAGAAAGAAAAGAAGAAAGAAAAAAGAAAGAAAAAAAGAAAAGAAGAAAGAAATTCTTGAGAAAGAAATCGAAAGAAAGTATTAATGTATGAAAGAAAGAATTGCCAAGAAAAATTCAAATGACGATGCAAAAAGAAGAATAGAAATAAAAAAGAAAATCAAATAAAAAGAGACAAAAAAGAAAAATGAATGAAAGAAAGAAAGAAAGAAAGAAAGGAAATGAAAGTAAGAAAGAGTGGAAAAAAAGACAAAAATTCATGAGAAAAATTCAAATAAAGACAAAAGTGGGAACAAATAAAGAAAGAAAGAAAGAGAGAAAGAGAGAAAGAAAGAAATTCTTAAGCGAAATTGAAATAAAGATGTAGGAAATGGAAAACAAATTAAAAAAGACAAAAACAAAAGAACGAAAGCAAGAAAGACAGAAAGAAAGAAAGTTCAAATAAAGATGCAGTCAGATGAATAGAAATAAAAAGAAAATCAAATAACAAAATAAAAACGAAAGAAAGAAAAAAGAATGAATGAAATAAGAAAAAGGGAAAGACAAATGAAAAAGATGAAAATTTTAAAAAAT